CGCGAGTCCTCGCCCCTCGGGGGTCGTGCTGCGCCCCGGGCACCGCCGAGGGGCCGCGGCGGGAGGGGCATTGGCGGGTACCATCCCTAAGGCGTCCCCACGCCTGTCTGAGAAGGGGTGGGCGTGTGAAGCCCCACGTCTACAGCTGAGGAAGCTGTAACCGGGCCTGGGTGATAAGCTGTGTAACCTTCGGACAGTCGGCTTCCTCTTACTGGAAATTCAGTGTTGATACCGGCGTGACCTGTCTCCCAGGGAGGCGTAGACAGCCAGGGAGACAGGGTATGTGAATGCCCTGCAGATCATCACCTGTGGAGGCGCGTCATTGCACTTACTTGCGGTGGCCCACCCGGGGGTCGGTAGGAAAGGCCCCTGAAGCAGACAGAGGGGCCCCTGAACTCCTCTCTTTGTGGTTCGGAAAGGATGGGCAGCTTCCCAATCCAGGTCTGTCTCTGGCTAAGGCAGCGGTTCTCAACCTGTGGGTCGCGAACCCTTTGGGGGTCGAACGACCTTTTCACAGGGCTCGCCTAAGACCATCGGAAAACACGTATATAATTACATATTGTTTTTGTGATTAATCACTATGCTTTAATTATGTTCAGTTTGTAACAATGAAAATACATCCTGCATATCAGATATTTACATTGCGATTCATAACAGTAGCCAAATTACAGTTATGAAGTAGCAACGAAAATAATTTTATGGCTGCGGGGCGGGGGGGGGCACCACAACATGAGGAACTGTATTAAAGGGTCGCGGCTTTAGGAAGGTTGAGAACCACTGGGCTAATGCTTTCTCATGCCTTACACTGCCTTTGCCTAACCTGCATGACACTTGCCGTTATTGGAAACTCAGCATTTAGAACTGGGAGACCTTGAGAGCAGAGTAACAAGGAGGGTTCAAGGAAGGGTGGAGGGAAGAGCTAGTCCTGAGGCCAGGAGTTCCCAATCGAACCTCTGACACAGTATTCATCCGCCTCCTTCACTCCCTGACCCCTGCACCACCTGTGCCCTTTAATGTTTGTTTGTAAGGCTGCAGCTGTCCTTAGGAGTTTTTCCAAGCCATGCACTTCAAGCTTCTGGGTGAGTTTTAGTAGAGTTTTCGGCGGTGGTCCTCAGAAAGGACAGAAGATGGAAAAGGCCTTCATAAAGCAAGGAGCGTGAGGAAAATGAGAGCTTTTTCCTGGATGTATAGCCTTTCTTTTTATATCCTTTGCGTTAATTGGTCTGTGAAACAAACTTCCTAGTATTGGTAAGATAAACATCTCAGTCCTGCCTGCCCAGATGGATGGTTCTGGGCAAAACTGGGGTGGCATTAATTATAATTGATAAGGCATAATCATCTAAGACTAGGAATTTTTAAGAGCCTTTAGCGCTTTGGAGTTACTTAAATGTTTAAAAAATTTCTTCTTTTTGCAGGTGACATACAAATGGCTGAGCTATACACTAGGAGTTCATGTTAACCAAGCCAAACAGTAAGTCCAGTTAACTACTAATTTTCATCATGTTGGAGTTTTTTGTTTGTTTGTTTGTTGCTTTGCTCTGTTTATAGCCTCATAGATAGCCTCTAGGTCTGTGGTTGGCAAACTGCGGCTCGCGAGCCACATGCGGCTCTTTGGCCCCTTGAGTGTGGCTCTTCCTAAGCCTTAGGAGTACCCTAATTAAGATAATAACAATGTACCTACCTATATAGTTTAAGTTTAAAAAATTTGGCTCTCAAAAGAAATTTCAATCGTAGTACTGTTGATATTTGGCTATGTTGACTAATGAGTTTGCCGACCACTGACCTCGAGTCTAAGTCAAAACTATTTTTTTCCCTGGAAAATGGGAAAGAATACTGTTTTTAGTACTTTTGTCTATTATTTAGGAGATAGGTATACTTGTATACAAATGTGTAGTAATAAATTTACTAAATTTATTTGTAGTCTTGCTCTCTGGTTAATGTCACTTCATTATTTTAGATTTATTAAATGGGCTAGCTAATTCTGTTTACATCTCAGTTTTATATGTCTGTTATCTTACATCTTCATTACAATTTCACACATGCTCCTTAGGTGTTATTGAAATACCTCCAGAATGAGGTCAACAGGTGTTTGACACAAGCTGTATAACAGTTTAAGGCCAGGGAGAACCTTGTAAGGGAAACCAGAACAGAAATGTTTAGAGTGGCACAGAGCATTGCCCTTCTTGAATTTTGCTGTATCACTTTCCTTGCTGAAAAGGAAGACAGCAACCTTTTGAATTAACTTTAAAATGTTTTGACCTGCAAATGTGCAGATGTTGTCTATGACCCACTTCATCCCACACCACTCTCTACATCTCATACTCTAGCCATATTTGCCTTTCTGCTCAAAAATGCCAAGCCCATTCACACCCTAGGACAGTGATGGCGAACCTTTTGAGCTCGGTGTGTCAGCATTTTGAAAAACCCTAACTTAACTCTGGTGCCGTGTTACATATAGAAATTTTTTGGTATTTGCAACCATAGTAAAACAAAGATGTATATTTTTGATATTTATGTTATATATTTAAATGCCATTTAACAAAGAAAAATCAACCCAAAAAAAATGAGTTCGCGTGTCATAGGTTCGCCATCACTGCCCTAGGACATGGACACCGTTCCCTCTGTCTGGAATGCTCTTCTCCCAGTTGCCATCATCCTTCAGGTTTCAGGTCACATTTCACATATGACTTCTTGGAACAGCTCTCCCCTGATGCTGTATTTCAGGTATCCCCCCTCCTTTCCCCTGC